ATCATTTGTATTGATATGTGTAATTAGCCATTTATAATAAAATTCTTTTTACATAATTTGTGTAGAAATAGAAGAAAATCGTCTCTAGTATAAAACTTTTTGGAAATTTCAGGTATTTCAGGTTTTTCAGGTGAAATCTCACCCCTGTCATAACATCTATTTACTATTGTCAAAGAAACATCTGATTTTATCTTCGTTAATGGGTAAATTCGAATGTTTCTTCATATTTCGTAGTGGTTTCGGGGCATGTATATGGTTCTTCTTCTGATCATCTGTGTTATGTCCCGCGATTTCTCGAGGCATGCGTCGGTCATAAGTAACCGATTGGTTATTCAGCTACTGTAGTGCTCTATAAGCAGGACAATGATGAATTTCTTCTCAGAACCTATCGGTTATGATCAGTTACAAGCATAGCCGATATCTGTTGTAGGTTGGTTTTCAACAGTCATCCGAAATAGCCGGTGCATAGCCTAGTTACATAATTGTTATGTTATGGTTTCTCTTGCTCTTCACTTTCTTCTCTTGCAACCATCTTCAAAGCCAAATAGTACCATCTATGGAAATTTCTTGAATGTGATAATGTTCAGGTTTTTCAGTATCGGTTTCTTCGGTATCGGTTAGTCGATACCGGTGCATACCTAGAATAGATGTGCAACAAATACTGAATTTATCAGATATCACTAATATATTGCTGTGCTTTTTATAAAAATTCATCAATATTCAGCTGACCATTCGATTCATCTTTTGACTCTAAAACCAAGACCATTTAAAAATTCAGTATAAAAATGTTTAACTACGAATTCAGCAACTATATATTTTCCATGTTTTGTTGATATATATCCACATCGAGTAGATTCCCATCTCGCTTCTTACTGTACCGTACAAGTGGAATGACAAGAGAAGAATACGATCATAAAACAGATATATGTAGAACCTTAGATAAAGTTGTGTTAGATATTCAACCACCGCCGAATATGAAGAAAATGAAATACTTAAGGATAGAGCTAAAAATAAATCAAGCACCATTCCTTATATCAACGATTAACTATTATGACTATTTACACGGTATATTCTTCTTGTATTTGTTTAAAATCTGAAGGTGACACGTCAGAAAACAGACCAGACGGCAACGATAAACTTCTAAGCCACGTATAGTCATTCAATAATTTCCGCATTAGTATGGTTTAGCAAGTGTCGTTAGCATCGTGTCAGAAAAAAGCTAAAGAATTCTGCTTATAGACATCGTCTCTTATATTCGTTTCTTTAGAAATTAAAACATCTTCTTGTTCAGTTTTGATTTCAGATCTACGAAAAACACGTTTTTTGAGAAACTAGAAAACAGACAGTAGAATTAATTAACTCGGTCACGAATAGTTTGGAAAAAAACTCACGTTCACATTGGAAGCTTTTATTTTTTGTAACAAAAATTTAGCTATAATAATACCGTGGTATACGATAATCTTTCAACCAATAAAAATAAATCATAGATAATATGTTGAATGTCTAGATCTGAGAAACTTTCTCAGAATTATAGTAATTTATATAGCAGTGCGATATAATGTATAGATCAAAAACTTTTGCTTGTCCAAAAATATAAATGACCCATGAGTATTTTTTGAATAACTTTTGGTAGAAAGTAGCTAGAGAGCTGAGGTTTTCGCCATGCGAAAGAGAAGACTTGGAGGCATATTTTCACGAGCAAAATGTTTTTCAGAAGAGTTTTCTGAAACACGTTTTCTAGGAGATCTTTGGTTATGTGTAAGAATTTCTTAATAGAATTATATTAATTTTTAATAAAACTTCAGAATATAGTCAATTTTGTCCGCTAAATGTGATTATAAGATCGGAAAAGCATATTTTTTGTTAATGAATTTTCTAGAAACCCTTTCGGAAAACGTTAGAGTTTTGTAAAATCTTTCTACATCTTTCATAAATACAATATAGAAGAGCCTAAATACTCTATATTCTGAAGTTCTGAACTTGTGTGATATCTTATGAGTGAATAGTGCATTTTTTAATATTAGATGAAAACAGCCTGAAAATCCAAACTTTCGTAAAACTCACTTTCCGCTAAATTTTTAAAACTTTTTCTAAAAGTAAATATTGCTACCTGACTCAGCATGATCGATACTTATAATCGACCAGCTTTCAAGGCTACCAATAGTCACCGGGTGCCACTCCTGGGGCTCGTAGGAAATATAATACAACGTACAAAAATACGATACAACGTCTGAAAATCAAGGTCTCACTTGACTCCCATTTTGAAGACCAGACACCGGGCTACCAACCCATGGAAAAAAATCCATATAATTCTATTAAAAAATTTTTACACACAACCTAGTTTCTCAAAGATTTGCTAGAAAGCGTGTTTCAGAAAACTCTTCTGAAAAACATTTTGCTCGTGAAAATATGCCTCCAAGTCTCCTCTTTCGCATGGAGAAAACCGCAGGTCTCTAGCTACTTTCTACCAACAGTTATTCGAAAAATATTCATAGGCCATTATATTTTTGACCGAAAAAGAGATCATGATTACAATTCTGGTCTCCTGTATGTGTACCATATCAAGATAAACAGTATCAAAGAGTATTTGTATATTTCTTGTTTTACACAGCAAAAAAAAAATGACGTACGCAAGAATACCTTGTAAAAAGCTTATATAAAAAAGAAAAAACGCTTTTCGAATGGTAAAATATGACACTGATCTAATTGTGTATACACAACGAAGTTATAGACTTAATTAAAGATTATTCTCAATGCATTGCCCATAGTTTTTTCAACGCATTTGTTAAACCCATATCATTGTAGTTATAATAACATAAACCAGCAAATGCGACAGCCGTTAAGATATAACGAATGGCGTTTGCGAGTGGCATTGCGTTTCGAGGACAATAATCGAGCAGAACAGTATCCATTCCTTAAAAATTTAGGTTAATAGTTGTCATAATTCTCAAAAAAAATTACATTAATACTTACCCCAATGTGCATGCATGGCCAATGAACCAGCAAGTAAATAATTCATTAAAGATGAGTCGAGTACAAACGATCCTGGTATAATAGCCAGTAATGCAACGGCTACCACACGCTCAAGTTTCCAATGTGTTGAACTTGTTAACATTGTTAAACCCGATTGTTGTTGGTGTTGTGGAGAATAAAAGACAGGATGAATAACAGACAAGGGAGTGGGAGATTTCTAAACAAACAAATGAAATTTTGTCGTGTAAAAAAGAATCTATTTTGAGAAGAAAAAATACTTACTGATGATGGACCACCAATAAAGTAGGAATTAGCCACAGCTGGATTGAAAATTCTACTTAGTGGTCGAAAACTTCTTAATAATGTAATACTCATGGTAAAAATGCGATTAAGTCAAATCTAGAAAGATCAAAGGTTTCAAAAACAGTAAGACTAAACGAGTGGGATGAACGACAACTAATTAAACATAAACATAAACATAACCTATATAATTGATTTTATTTCATATAAATCTTTAGTAAAAGAACGAGTTAGAAAAAGTTTAAAAAAAAGTACATTAATACACATTTATATACTTTTAATTTTTAAGCGTCCATGTTGAACCTTGCTGACGATCCTATAAAACCAAACAATACTGATATTTAGAGAAAAGAAATATAAAAAGAACTATGAACCTTTATTTCAACACCGAGATATTTCATGCGTGAACGAAACTCATCACAACTTTCTAATAACGTTTTTTTTCCATCTTCATTCGTGGATAAACGGCTTATGTTTCGTACATTTTTACGAAACTGAACAGCTTCTTCAATTACATTAGTTAACAATGTTTCATTAGATGTATTCTAAAATGAAAAATGAAGTCTAATTATTCTGACTATAATAGAAACTAGAATATAGGAGATTGAAGTCAGTTAAAGATTTTCCTAATAACATAATTAATCAATATAAGTTTTAAACTCTCAGCAAACTTACTGCTGAATACGATGATATTTTTACACCAAAAATATCGAGCCACTTTTGAACAAGATCAAGAGCGAGGTATAATGCACCAATCGGCGGAGCTGATGTTGTGGAATCCTAATAAATGTAACAAGAAATTTAGTTTATATCAGCATAACTCTCAATTTTACTCACTTACCATCACATTCATACCTCATCGAGAAATTTAGGGGAGGAGGATAATTTTGGATTTATCCAATTTATTAATTCACGTAATTTTCCCATGGCATCAGGTGTACTAAAATCATTTGCTAAACAATCGATAATATCTTGATTTGTTTGCACAACGCTTAAAAAAAAACAAATATATATATTTTTATAATTCATACAAGATGCGTTATGATCAATCTATATCTTACCGTTCAATTATTTCGCTTTCAGATAAATTTACCATATGCAAAAGACCTTTTTGACATGCATTTACAGTATCAGTAAAGGATAGAAATAGTTTATCAAAAAATAAAGCTTCTTTCATTGATGTGGAATTAAAAGAACGATCTAAACGGCACGACATACAAACACAAATCGATAAAGATTTAAACTAATGAGTATAGATTCACTAACGTTGTCTATGATGCTGTAACAGACAAAATAAACGAAATTGTTGTGGTGTATAGGTTTTAAGCATCTCTCTTATTGATATTGTATTCTGAAGTGATTTTGACATTTTTTCTTCATCTGATCTTGTATTCAGTAGTCCTATAAACAATAAATTTAAAAAGTGTAGACAATGACGTAGAACATTTAAAAGACGAGAGTATACCAGCATGAATCCAATATGTCCCCCATTGTTTCGTATTATGATAGGAGTTACATTGTGCTATTTCATTTGCATGATGAGGAAACCATAGATCGAAACCACCGGAATGAATATCCAAATGAGAACCAAACGTTCGACTAAACGATAAACGAAAATAAATACACTGAATAAATTGAACATAAAAAGCATGCGATATAATAACGTAAAACCTCAAAAAACCATTTAGGTAGTGATATCAATAAGTTTAATTTTTGTTGGAAGAGCTATTTATTACCTGGCCATTGCTGAGCATTCAATATGCCATCCGGGTCGTCCATAACCCCATGGTGACTTAAATGTTGGTTCATTTTCATCCTTCGTCGCTTTCCATAATGCAAAATCACGTTGGTCACGTTTCTCGTTAAGAATATCATCTATAGAAGAAAAAAAGACCAGTATTAGAGAGAAGAAAATTAAACAATTGCTCTTCTTACACACGAGTGTACTTTGTTTCAGAGGTGTTAATGGATAAGTTTCATTTTTTTGTGCATAAAGTGAGATATCAAAATAGACAGAACCTAATTTAAACGAAACGAGAAAATAAATGAAAAAACAATTTTTATATTAAATGCTAACCAGATGATGTCACATAAGCGCAACCATCTTGAACAAGTTTTTTAATAAAATCAATTATGGTTTGTATGTGATCAGAGACCCGACAATAAATATTTGGTGGATGAACATTCAATGTATTCATATCATTAATAAACTCTTGTTCATATTTTTTTGCGATTTCCAAATAGTGAACATTTTCCTACAATAGTACATTTTATTAAGAAACTTATGCACAAATAATCTCAAACTTTTCGATATCAAAAATCCAATCGAGTGCACTTACATCTTTACTTCTTTTGATTATTTTATCATCAATATCAGTGATACCCATTAAGAGAACAATTTTATAGTTGAAGACATTTTTCAATATACGATAGATGATATCGAATGTAACATAAGTGCTTCCATGACCAATATGTGAACTATCATAAACAGTTGGACCGCAAGTATACCTAAACAGAAATAAGTATACACGTTATTTAGATTATAGAAAAAGTTTTAAAACTAAGTTACCAAAACAATGTGCCAGGATATTTTGTTTGTAATTTTTCAGTTCTTTTGCTCATAGAATTGTATATTGAAACATCCGTTTGTGTTGTATAAGTACAAGAATGTTTAAAAGAAAAACATGCTGTAATTTTTGATATAAAATGATATCGTAAGATCATTTCGATAGCAATAGCAAATTACATCTTTTATCTAAAATAAATTCAAAACTCTTGTTCGACATTATATAGTTGAAACCTTAGTGGAAGTACTAAAATGTTACAACTCTCCACCTCGTTCCTGACTACTAAACCGACTACTCATATAAGTACAAAAAGACTCATATTTGAAAGTTAAGTAGTCATGATATTTTTGTTCTTAAATACCCCCACTCACTGAGTCTTAACGTTTTAGGACTAAAAAAACTAGATGCCAACTACCCATCGAAAGACTGGAAAGTCGACCGAGTGGAACATTTCTTAAAAATACTCTAGACATCGTTTGATCGCCTTGCATTAGCAGCACTATTCCATTATTAGTTCCTCAAGTTTATGTGTATATTTCTACATAAGCTAGCGAGTCTACATATAACCACACATGTAAGACGCAGCAAGTGCTGCACAGGTTTTTTTGACTGAAAATATTGTGTAGATATGTTGAGTGATAACGAAAGCTTCCATATGAAACACAATGTTCTAGAAATGCAATAAAAAATTTATACATCAATTTTATTACAAAATAGTAACACAGAACTCGAATTTCTGTTGAAATCTATACCATGTATATATAATCACTTAAGTATACGCACTCAGTCAAAGAAAACTATTCAAATAAACTATAAACACTATGTGGTGGGAATCCGATGAGAAAGCGGACTGTAAAGTGAATTGAACGAGATTAACGGACTATGGTGGAAATCAAGTAAGAAAAACGATTTGTGAAGGATAATCGGAAGAAAAAACGGGCGATAAAAACAGACTGTAATGAAAAAACTAGCGATAGAAACTCATTGCCTCTTGATCAGCGTTCAACTTCATCAAGTATAGTCGCATTAAGCGTACCTTTTGTCCGTGATAGATCGTATTATCCGCAGATTGATCATGCGCAGTCACATTAAGTGTACCTTTTGTTTTAGAGATCCATCCTTTTCTTTCGGTCAAAGAAAAAATTGTGTTTCAAATTTTATTCATCTACCCTTATTTTCTACCGCATGTCACGTGCATCACGCGCCCATGAATCACGTGACCATTAATTATTTCATAGGAAAAACAATATTCTAAAGAATATACTCATTTTGTGACACTAACTAACTAACTATAGGATACTAAAGCAAATATCCGAAGACTAACTTCAGATATGTCATCTATAGCTCCTCTCTGAATCATCTTTTCCTAAATCTGTAAGAGTAGGAGGAATAGCTGAGAACGAGTGGCTGACTCGAGAAACAAAACCGTCTAGAGATCTATATTAATAAAATATATCCATAATTAATTAGTAAAAGTCGAGATTTAGTTTCTACGCATGGTAAATCTCAAATAAATTCTTTAATAACACTCCATTAACGTCCGGTGTTTATTTAAAGACATTGTTTTCTCGTAAAGTCAATACTTTTCACGCACCTTTTCTCAATAGTAGATGTCAGTAACCATCGTCCGGTAACGACACTCTGAGACATATGTAAACAAACACTCTAAATCCTTAAGGACAAGAGTTAAAATTGTAATAACTTTTAAATCTACAATTTTGTTTTTCAACAGGCATTGAAAATCTCTGGAAAAAAATTATGAATTTTAAACATAAATATCTTAACACGTTACTAATTTCCTTGACACTTACTAATTTCTAGTAATAATTAAAGAAAAACGAACAATTAAAGATTTTATGATACCTCTGCTCTTTTTATTGACTGTTCATGTGTTAATCCTCAAGGTTCTTGCATTCTAAATCGTTCTTTTTCTTATGAAAATTTATTATACTTTTATATTATATACTAGAGAAAATCTTAGAAGAAACATAGTGACAGAAAAAAAGAAGATAAGAAAAATAACGCATCATCCACAATTCGACACTATGGAAACATGAACGAAGGTATACGTAAAAAAAGGAGAATCATTGTCGTTTCATTTTTCCATAAAATGAACAGAATAGGTGAAAGATTATCATATATACTATCGTATTATTATAGCTAAATTTTTGTTACAAAAAAAAGAAAAACCTTCCAATATGAACGTGAGTCCAATGTTTTTACCAAACTATTCGTGACCGAGTTAATTAATTCTACTGTCTGTTTTCTAGTTTCTCAAAAAACGTGTTTTTCGTAGATCTGAAATCAAAACTGAACAAGAAGATGTTTTAATTTCTAAAGAAACGAATATAAGAGACGATGACTATAAACAGTAAGTCGTTAATTTTTGAATTTTTTCATTAAATTGTTGTGGTATAATTGTTTTTAAACAGAAAACCTCCATATATCATGATTTTTAAAAATTAATCTATTTAGTACGGGTTTTGTACTTGACCCTCATTCAACTTTATATCATTTGTGGTTGTGTATTATATCCGTCGCCATTGCCTACAATGTAATGATTATACCAGCAAGATTTGCGATCGTAGTTTTTGATCATAGTTATCGAGTTATATGGATATCATTGGATTATGTATTTGATTTGATATATCTTATTGATTTATTTTTTCAATCACGTACAGGTAGAAATCACATAAAAATAAATAAATTTATACTGTTTAAGGTTCCATGTTCTTTTCTTTTTAAGGTTATCTCAGTCATGGTTTATTTGTTCAAAATCATTTAGTTTTATCAGCAAATTATTTTTCTTCACAAAAATTTAAATATTTGGATATACCGAGTATATTTCCAACAGATATTTTATATTTTATACCAAAACTAAGATTTGTATCTATAATTAGATGTAATCGTTTTCTACGTATTTATCGTTTATTACAATTTCGTTCTTTAACAGAAACTAGAATACGATTTCAAAATGCATTTCGAATGTTTACATTAATCTGTCTTGTTATATCAATGATTCATTGGTAAGAATATATAGATTTAGAAAGTGGAACGCTTATTGAGATTAAGAAAAAAAAATTTCCATTATTTGTTTTTTTATTTCTCATTTTAGGAATTCATGTGCCTATTTATTATTATGCCGTTATTTAGGATTTGGCACTGATCGATGGGTGCTACCAGCATCAGCCCAATTCGATACGTTACCTATGTTATATACATACTGTTTTTATTGGTCAACATTATTATTGAGTACTATCGGAGATGTACCATTACCAGTGAAACGGATTGAATACATTTTTGTTTTATTCGATTACATGATTGGTATTTTGTTAATATTGTTAAATTTATAATCATCACATTTAATGATCTTTTTTTTTTCTACTTCATTTAGGTGTAATAATATTTGCAGCCATTATTGGCTCTTTAGGTTCAATGATTTCTGATACAAGTCAATCTAGTATGTGTACAATTAAAATAATTTATTATTTATTATTTATTCATTATTTTATTTAGGTCAACATCTTCGTGAAAAAATGGATGAAATAAAACGATTTATGAAATTTCGCAATGTTGAACGAAACTTAGAAAAGAAAGTAGTTAAATGGTTAGATTATTTATATACAAATAGAGAAGTGTTAAATGAAGAAATAATTCTTAATACATATTTATCAACAGAGTTAAGAAAAGAATTTGCTATTAAAGTTCATTTAAACACTTTACAACAAGTAAGAATATAAATGTTTGAATCATTGTTAGAATGAGACTATAGTTGTATGAAATATCGATTTCAGGTAGCATTGTTCAATGATTGTGAAACGGGTTTATTAATTGAGCTTGTAAGTAGTGGGTATACTTCAGAAGAAATTGCATTCTCCACATTTTTTCATTTCTGACCGCATAGATTTAAACTTCCTTTTAAAAGATTTGCCATTTAATTCTCTATAAAAAACAACAATCATATCGAATATTTTTCCATATACTGTAAAAATAAAAGAATAGAGAGGAAATACTGCGAAGCTTCAATCTCAATTACTTTTTAACCCAAAAAATAGTCTTTCCAATATTAGCCCTTCATATTTTGGAATATGAAAAAGACAAGATAGACATTTTGTAGCCTGTAAAAACTTCTATCAACTGGTTATATTTAAAATTCTTTATAATTACAAGCGTTTGGAGCAGAATATTTTTCTTTTTTTTATCAATTTTATTTAAAATTATCGTATCCTAACTGCAGTTCTGGAGCAGTAAGAAAATTTTTATAAATTCGACTAAAATTAAATATTCTGAGGTCCGCTTTGTTTTACCTTAGAAAAAAATAATTTTTCTATTACATCCGAATAGAGAAAGTTCAATAGCTCTATCTTATTTTGGTGTTCTCTCAGTTCGTCCCAAATTGACTTCTCAATTCGTCTTACGAAGCTTTTTTTCTCAGTTTTCCCATCAACACTTCTCTCTTAGTTTGTCCCATATATTTTTTTCTCAATTCGTGCCAAAGATCTATGATCGCGTCTCAAAATAACTAAAGTGTTGTACCATCGAACAGTTTCGTCGACGACGATGGTATCCATGATACCATGTGCATATTCTTTGAACATGCCACAATAAATTCTTTTGTCGACATTTTTCCACATATCAAAATCAATGGCTGTTTCTTCCATTATGCTCAATCGTTGTGGAGAAAAATCCAGCAAGTTGGTATGATGCGTCATTTTGAAAAAACAAATGACAATAATAATGTCATACCGGAGATGCAACTTAGTCCATTGTTTAGTCGTACAATCCTCGAGAATCCAATACCTCGAAAAGCATCTTTGTGTTCTTGTTTTCGCTTTTCAGCTCTCGTTGTTTGTCCAATATAATTGTTTATACACCCACAATAGTCATATATATCACCGTACACAAGAGGTACGGACAATTATATTAAAGCTAATTAAGTGTAAACTAATATGGGATGAACTGAGAGAGGTGTTGATGGGACGAACTGAAAGTAAACCCTTATTTTCCATATCAAGGTGAAGAGGCCAAATTTTCTCTTTTTTTGGTGAATTTTAGTTGAATTGCCTTTTGGGTCTATAAAAACACCTTTTAGGCGAACCTATGATTTTCTCTCTTCTTTTACTTTTACAGTATATAGAAAAACGTTCGATATGTGTTTTATAGAGATAATTAATTGGTGAATCTTTTAAAAGGAAGTTTAATGCGGTCAAAAATGAAAAAGTTATCCGCAAAATCACGAAGAATGCAATTTCTTCTGAAACATCTCTTATAATTAGAAAATAACTCTACACTAGTCTATATTGTCTTTGATTAAGGTCACAAAACTAAAACCCATCTTTTTTGGTCCCGAAGATTATGTATGTCGAAAAGGTGATATAGGAAAAGAAATGTATATTATTAAACGTGGACAATTAGGCGTTGTATCTGATGATGGAAAAACAACATTTGTTGTATTAAAAGAAGGCGCTGTATTTGGTGAAATAAGTATTCTAAATATTCCAGGTATTGATCTATTAAAAAATGAAATAATAACAATATAATTTTCATTTTTGTTTTCGTTTTTTTAGGTTCAAAAAATGCCAATCGTCGTACAGCTAATGTCAAAAGTTTGGGTTATGCTGATTTATATAGTTTGTCGAAAGATGATTTATGGGCAGCATTAGATGAATATCCTATAGCACGAACAAAATTAATCGAAAAAGGAAAATCAATATTGAGAAAAGATAATTTATTAGATGAATCAATTGCAGATAAACGTCATAATGAACAAGAACAATTAATTCCATTGAATGAACGTATTAATAAATTAATTAGTGATGAAACGAATTTAAGAACAAAAATTACAAATTTTTTAGAATTATATGTGGAAAATTTGCGTACTTTTAAACAAAATTTATCAAAAGTTGAATATTATTATGGTGCAAGAAAACCATCAATTTGTGTTATTCCACCTCCTCCAACACCACCACCGCCCATAAAACAATTTAATATTATGCCTAAATTTCCACATAAACCTACAATTTCATTATTACCATTTGATGAAGATAGACAATGAATTTTGTTACAAATAACTGATTATCTAAAATTTCATGATATTGCGATTTTTAATATTAGTTCTCACTTATACTATGATTTATAGTTAATAATCCGAATAGGGATAAAGCTTTGTCAAAAAAAAATTTCAGATTATAGAGCGTTAGATGCAAGAAAAAATATTTTCATCACTCGGTTCACGAGAACTGAACAGAGTCCATTTCGAAAAACTATTTTTTTATGAACAGTGGAAAAATGACTGCGATGACTTGTATCGAATTAGCGATAAAACGCCTGTTCAACCATCAGAGAAACGAAAAGATAAATGACGTTTAAAGAGAGTTCGCACAGTTTTACCTTTGTAAATATGTTGCTTTTTCTCACATTATACATACTTTTGTGTATTGTAAGTTATATTGATTGTTAAAATGAATAATCTTAAAAGTGTTGATCACAATTTGATGCTCAAAAGTATCCATTTTTTATGTTCATTTATATCTAACTTAATGTGTGGTTTGATGATCATGTAGTGTTCCATAACGATTAAATGTAGTAAATGACATTTTTCTAATTAGCATAACTTTGACATAGAACTACTGAACTGAATATGTTGATAACAACGTTAACTCCTCGTAGGAAACTAGAACCACATTTCGTTTGTCAAGTCAGTAATGTTTTATCCGATCAATAAATTAGATATACTAGAATATCCCGTCCTCATCAACAACTATGGCATGTCATATATAAAAAAATACAAAGTAATAACGTTAAAATTTATAAAATATGAAAAAATACTTTCAAAAAAATACTTGTCTTAAAGAAACAATCGATAAAACTGACGATCTTCTAACAAATTAATAACAGTAGATAAAAAGCTAATTCTAATTATTAAAGTTTCGCACGAGTAAGCCATGCGTGTTCCTTAAAATGAATAAAGAAATAAATGTTGAGACTTTTGACAAATTGACAAAAATCAATCAATTCATTTTTACCTGTTGTACTCGTCCAGCTGATGGTTCAATTAAAACATTAATTATCGTTGGACGATGTTTTTCGTTCAGTGCTTCTTTTAAGGCCTTTTGTATTTCATCTATAGTAGTCGCAAGATATCCTTTACAACTAAAAGCATCAGCTATTTTTTCGTAATTTGCTTGCATTAAAGATGTTGGTGGTAAACTGAAAGAGTATACATGCCCTGAAATTATTAAACTTAAATTTTTAAGTTAAAGATTCTACACACTTTATTCTTGGATCTTGTTTAGTTAATTCGGTATATGTCTCTTTGTCAACACCAGCATAAATTCCACCATTATTAATTATTATGAATATTATTGGCAAATTATATCTAAATGAACTATTTTGAAAGAGAACGCAACATAATTGATCTTTTTCTAACCTTGCAGCTGTTTCAAATTCCATTCCACTAAAACCAAAAGCACTATCACCCTCAACACAAATGACACGTTTATCTGGTTGATGATCTTGACAATAAGTAGCAGCAGCAATAGCAAAACCAGGTCCAACTCCCATCGTTCCAAATGTACCCGCATCTAATCTGAAATAAACGCAAATTTTAACATTTTAAATAAAAATTATTAAATAAAATTACCTATGTCTAGCACTTGAATTTAACAACATGGTACGTCCAATATCCATTGTGTTCGCACCTTCACTAACAATAATACAATTTTCTGGTAAAAGTGATTGAATCTAAATTTTTTATTTAAATATTAGATATAATATTTGTGATGATAATGCACTCTATACTCACAGTATTGAAGGCTGAATAATAATTTAACATTGAACTTTCTTTAGAATTGATCAGAGCCTACATAATTTTAATAAATTCATAAAACTAATACAAGATTAATTAAATCTGTTTTACATCACTACGTTGTTTATTTTGTTCTAATTTTTTTTTTAATATATTCCACCATTTTGAATCTTTCTCAAATTTCCATTTTGTTTCATCTTCTTTAACCTAAGATAGACATTAAAAATAAATGCACTTGTTTATATCTGTCTCTTTGTATTTTTTCTTAAACACTATACCTGATTTAACACCGTTTTTAAATCACCTTGTATCGCTAATGTACTTTGAACATTGTTATGCAACTCAGATGGATCACTGTCAATCTAAAATAAAGATAGTTAAAAATTCATATTAATATAACAAAAATCAAATGACAGAAAATTTTTAAACCTGTATAATTTTCACATTTGAATTATAACGAGGTTCTTTACCAAAATGGAGCATCCAATTTAATCTAGCACCAAGTAAAATAATCAAATCGGAATCTTTTAACGCACTAAATAAAACAATGAACAATTATATATACAAATTTTTAAGATTTTTTCTACATTTTTGCTTACGTGGAACGAGCTGCTCCAACTGATAGTGTATGTTTGTCTTGCAATACACCTTGAAGTTTTAAATTAATGAATTGAAATTAAATCTTATAAAAAAATTAGAGTTAAATGACACTCACCTTTGCCCATTGGTGTTGATAAAAATGGTAAATGGAAACGTTCAACAAATTCTTTGACAGCTTGCTCTGCGAAACCTTGTGCGCAACCTATTACACAAAGTTTTACTTGTACATGATATGATCAAGTTTATATGAAAGTCATCGATTCGTTACCTTTTCCTACCACCACCAATGGTCTTTCGCTTTTATGAAGTAAATCAATAAATTGAGATATATTTTCTCTTGTTGTACCGAATGCTGGAGGAGGTGGACATTGTGGAATGTTTCTAAAAAACATAAAGATATATTATTTTAAATTAAACAGAAACCTCTTAGTTTTAAATACTCAATTTGATTGGAATTAACTGAAGCTGTTACCAAATCACCTGGAATGTCTAAATAACTTACACCGGCCGCACCATAAATCGTTGATCGTACTGCCTTTAAAGTTGAGGATAAATTAATTCTGTATATTTAAGAAATAAGCCTGAGAAATTGAACCTTTTCGACAAAGAATGGTATTTTTTCTAGAGATGTAATACGAGTAGCATATTTTGAATACAAACGTGCACTTTCGACCTAAAACAATGAAATTTCATACAATACATTAAATGATATGATATTATGCTATTCGCTCACTTGTGGAAATTCTTGAAAAGCACCCATAGATATCTGATCGGTATCACATGAACCGCTAAGGACAACCATTGGCCTAATTTAAAGACATAAAAGTCACACATTTTGATCGATAAAGAAGAATTGATAGTGCATGGATTCAAAAATAATATTCTAAGAGTAAGCTGCTTCATCGCCATCTAAGTATATAAATATTATAAAAAAACTAACCATTTATTAACCTGCGCATTAGCCATCCCACCGAGTCCATGAATAAGCCCTGGTCCAGAAACGGTCAACAAGACAGCCGGTCTAAAAATCAAAAAGATCATAATAAAAATTATAGAAAGTAAATAATCTTATTCCTACTTTCCAGTTAAATAGCCAATAGCGGATGCCGCATAGCTCGCCTAGAATTAAGAAAAAAAATTGACTACCGAATAAATCATAAATTATGAATTTACTTACGGACTGTTCATTTCTCATTCCAATATATTTCAAATTACATTGCTGAGCAGCAAATGCTACTTCGATAATTGGAATACCGACCACTCCAAAAATATATTCAATACCCTAAAGACAAGAATAAAAAGTGAAGAACATTTCTTCGTTTGAATTTAGTATTCCACTTTTACTTGTCGTTTGAATGCTTCAGCCAGTACTTGTGCACCATTTCTTTCCTCACCCGTATTGGCTTCAGCGTCACGTGACGGTTTTAAATCCGGCATTATATGCTAAACCAAAAGCGGATGATTGTTTACAATAACCATTTATAATTTAAATATTATATCATGGCTAGTAACAATCTTTTCTATCTTCTTACCGACATAGCTATAGATGAACGCTTTGAATATCTTAATGCACTCGTGAATAGTTTATTCGTATGTCGAATGACAGAACACATCTACAGTTTTAAAAACAAAAATCAGACCTACTTGAATGCTTGTTCAAAAGAAACCAGGTTTTCCGATAAATGAGAATAAACTTTTGTAAGTTTGAAGTGCCTTCACCGGTAACAATAACTTTCTACGGAGATGATATGCATCGTATCATATAGTAGAAAAAGAGAACAAGAAGAGTGTAAACACAGTCAGATGTCACTAGTATAGCAAAGATAATTCCAGATATTTTTAGTTATACTGCCGGAATATAAATTTTATTCTTACTAAAATACTACAGTAGCGCTCAAAATGACTGGCTCACCTTTAGATTTTAGTTCATCTCTTCGACCAGAACAGAGCTAAAAAAAGATTTCAATAGCTGAAAGAATTTACAAGTTTGTGTGGTAGTAAAAAGATTCGATCAAAATTCTTTGTAACATGGATCTCTAAAAACTCCAAACCTTAGAGAAATCCGTGAATTCGACCGATACATTTTGCAAACGGCTGGATCGTGTAAAACAAACATTTTCTATACAAAATGAGACGTCACTGAACCCTTTCTAGCACTCTTATATGAAATAGCATTGCGAAAGATCCCATAACGCTAAAATCAGTAAAATTATTAAAAAAAGAAAAATATACCTTCATAATTTCATGATAAACTGAATGCTATTTCATGAAAGAGAGCTAGAAAGAGTTCAGTAATGTCTCATTTTGTTTTACAGGATCCAGCTATTTACAAAATGTATCGGTAGAATTTGCAGACTTCTCCAAGGTTTGGGGTTTTTAGAGATTCATGTTACAAAGAATTTTGATCGAATCTTTATACCACACAAGATTGTAAATTCTTTCAGCTATTGAAATCTTTTTTTAGATCTGTTCTAACTATTGTGGTCGAAGAGATGAACTAAAAATCTAAAGGTGGGTTAATAATTTTGAGCGACAATGGAAATGTGCTTGGAAAATGTCATGCTAAGAAGGAATTGTTATTCAAGTATACAACTCAGTAAGCGAAAGGATATAGTAAAATATCATATAAATAGAATATTTTTCTTCTTGATTCGAATGAACCTAAAGATTAAGAACAGCATTTTTTCTTGAAATTTCTTTACAGAAGCATTTGCTGATTGTAATACACGAAAAGAATAATTGGACAAGAGAAAAAACGTCAGACAAATAATTAAGCAGACAGAGGTAATGATAAAGCAATACGATGACTGCTATTCGTCCGAAATCCGATATAACTAGTAGCCCATTTCAATCTATACAGTCACATGGCTCCCACGATATATTTTTGTAACTGCATCCGTTGCACAAAAACGATCGTATAGTATGAAAAATAACACGACACGAAATACATTTTTTTTCCTTGAATTTATTACAGAAATTGCTCAATATGTTGAAGAGAGATACATCCGTAAACAATATATGCAAAAGTCAATAAAAAGGTTTGAGATCATACGTTATATTAAGTTTAAAGTTTAACTTCTGAATATATTCCAATACAATTCTGAGATACTGAAATGGAATATAGTGTCTTAAATGGATTGGACTATTGATCAATCACAACTGGAGAGTTGACAGCAAAAAAAAAACGTATTTAAAGTACAAGAAATAAAGACTAAAAATAAAAGTATATGCCTATGTTTATCCTCTATTTGGGATATAAAAACAAATTGGAAGTGATTATTACTCAAAAAAATGTGAGTCTTTTTCAAAGACTTCTTGGTATAGAAAATATATTTTTCGTAATAATAACATCATTATCTAAATTGATTATTGGTTTAGCACTGTTTTCTTCACGTAATAATGTTGGTGCTTTCATATTTGTCTGTAATTTTTCATAATCTTTTGTTATCACCATTGATGCATATTCAA